GGAGTGGGCACGGGCCAAATTACCCTCCTGGTGGTGGAGCAAGATTAGCTAGGCTGGGATCCCATAACAGGAGAGTCTGCGATGCCGGGTAACTCCTGCTGGTTAATCCTTTCATCTCAGCTCTGCTGCCACCTTCCCTGCCTGCTCCCTCCACAGTCTAGGTCAGAAGCCATCCCTGGGTCCCCATCACCGATGCTGACTTCCATCTCTGGTCACCATGCTGCACAGGCCCTGTCTGTTTGCTTTCCTACTCATCCAGTAGATTTTGAGATCCCTGAGGGTCCTTTCCGAGCATCGTGAAAGCAAGCCAGCCTGTGCCTGAGATTACACACTGCTCCAGGGCAGAGCAGGGCTGGGACCAGGGTGAACAAGGAAGGCACCCGGGTGCAAAATGCCAGCAGGGACACACTCTCAGGCCCCTGCAGAGAGTAAATGCCTCCTGGAAACACTGCACACCATGCAGCTGCACTCACCCCAGCCCTGGCCCCAGGGCACAGAAAAGGAAAGAATATTAATTGTTGAGAACAACTATGGAGAGTCACCACATTATTTCTTTTATCTTCAAAGTAAGATAGTACCTGTTTTATAGGTACTGACATCCTCAAATTAAACATGGCAAATTGAAGCTTGGTACAATCCGGTACCAAGTCTTCTGAATGCTGAAGTCCTTGCTCATCGCAGAGGCCACGAGGTCAGGTAAGAGAGGACTGAAGGGACGTTCTCTGGAGGGACAGAGGCCTCCCTGCGCTGGACATGAGCATGGCGGTGCTCTGCCCAGAGCCCCCAGATCCCCACCCAGCAGGTGTGGCTGGGGCCTGGGCACATGTGCGTCTCCTGAGCTCCCCTCGTCTCCCGAGCTCCCCAGCAGGTCCCCATGCGCTGTCTGGAGGTGAGGACGCTGCACTTCTTCAACCTCCCCTCGCAGCACCTTGTGGCACCCACCACTTGGGATCAGAAGTCCTCCCTCGGTCTACCCTCATCTGCAGACCTTTCACTGCCAACCCCTCCCCCAAAGAGGCCTCCATGGACACCCCCTTCGGGCTGCCAAGTTGTGCTACTGCAGTGCCAAGAGGGACCCCGGGCAGCAGCAGCCACCACTCTGTCTTGCCTGCTGCCATGGGCTGCAGGGGTGTCCTGGGGTGGGGGTGCACTATTCCCAGGGTCTGCAGTCTCAGAGACAGATGAGTGGCCCGCAGGGATGGGGGTCTCTGTCAGCAGCCCTCCTAAGGCCCAGATGGCTCTGCGTCCCCAGCCCACCCCTCTGGCTCCTGCCTTGACGTCTACAGCCCCCCTCCACCAGCGTCGCCACTGAGGAGAGCAAGCGCCAGGTGAGCCTGAGTGGGCCCCACGCGCCCCCACACATAGAGCCCCGCCGCCGTGCCAGAGCTGGCAGCAGTGAGGCAGCCGGCCACACTCCAGGTTTCCAGAGCGGAGACGAAGATCCCACGCTTGGGACGAGTACCTGGGTGGTGAGATCAGCAGGTGGCCCAGCTTGGAGCCGACCTGTCTACCTTGATGGGGAGACCAGAGGCCCACCCAGGAAATAGGGCTCAGGAGAGGATTACGCCTGCCCCTCCCAGCTGCCACCACCCTCATTACCTCTCACCTGACTTAAGTCCTCAGGACAGTCCTGGACTGCCCTGCCTGCCCCCCTACCTGGGCCACCTCCAGCCTACTCTACACAGCCTGGTGCACTTACCTTCCCAGGCACAGCTCCAGCAAGGGGCTCTCCTGCCCACAACCCGGCACCCATTGAACAGAGGACAAGCCCCTCACCCGGCATTCCCAGGCACCCCTGGTCTGGCCCAGACCTCCTGGAGTGTTCTCAGCTGCTCCTCCAGCACACCCCCATTCTCCCATCCCCGCCCACCCAGCCTCCTGTGCCCACTTGCCCTTGGTTCTAGCCTTCATCTGCCAACACCGACTTATCTTACCCCCTAGACCCTTGGCCTTCTGGAGCCCTTGGCCTGGCGCTCGCCCATGGCATTGCATCCCTCCCGCACGCACTGCTGGGCCGTGAGTTCCTCGAGGGCAGAGCCGCTCGGCCCTGGTCGCTGTCCTGCCCGCCACCCCACCATCCCCTGAGCTTCTCCCGCACACAGAAAGGTGTCAGCGGTGTGAGTGGCGTTGAATTCGGATAGAAAACAGTCCTTAGTTTCGAAGGCTCTAGTTGCAGACAGCCCTCGTGGGCAGGAAGCTCTGCCTCTCACCCAGCCCAGTTCCAGCCTGTTTGGACTTCATTTTCATTCCTTGGTGGAGATGGAAAGCAGTGGATTATCCTCCCCTAAATAATCACCTTTCTTGGGCTTTAACACTATTATTAAATCACCTTCGAGCCACCGTTCTTCTTCAGGCTGAATAATCCCAGTTCTTTTCATGTTCCTTCAGAATGTTATTCCTGCCCTGTAATTAGCTTGGCAACGCTTCTAAATTCTCCCCAACTTCTCAACGTCCAGAGAGAGGAAGGGACTTGGGAGGGGACCAGAAAGCTCTGAACTGAGGGCCTACTATGTGCCAGATACTAACCCCCACTGCATGTAATCTTCTGGTCGCCAGTGAGGTTGCCGCTCTTCACCCATTTTACAGATGGGGAAACAGAAGCTCCACGTGGTTGGCAGGGTTTCTCGATCTTGGCACCATTGACATTTGGGTCCAGATAGCCCCTTGTTGTGGGGGAGCGGGCTGTGCATTGTAGGGTGTTCGGCAGCACCCCTGACCCCCCCTCACTTGACGCCAGTAGCAACTGCTCTTCCCTCCCGACAATTTTGACAACCATGTCTCCAAACAATACCAAACTTCCTCTGGGGATACAACACCTCCAGTTGAAAATCACTGTGTTAAAGAAATTTCCAGAGACCAATTCGTTTAAAAGTAACAGAGACTAAACTTAGATCTGTCAACTCCAGAGAATTTTCTTTCTACTACCACCATGCAGTCTTGTAAGACAAAGTCTCCCTAGGAAAATACTGGAAGAATATCATTACGTTTTCTACTTTCTTCACTATTTACTCCAACATTTAATTCTCTGTATGTGTCACCGGAATTGACTAATAGATTATGCTGGTCCATGTCTAATCCACACTCTCCAAGTCCACCCTCGTTCAATTTGAAAGCATTAGCTTGGGTCCACTGTGACCACAGAAGTTTTTTTTTCCCCCCAATCAGCTGCTCAATGTCACTAATTTCAGGCCTATTGCAGAGACATAGCAGAAGAAATAGAAAACAGATCCCCCCCCCTCCAAGAGCAAAAGGTCTGACCCAGGAGCTGGATACACACGTGAGCAGTTCTAGCACTTACTAAGAAGTGCACAGGCCGTTCTTGCACCATTCCTAAGCAGGCTGTTGGCAAGTAGGAACACTGAGTCCACCGAGCAGTTGCTTAGACTACAGATGCCAAGCAGTTGGTGTAAGGAGTCAGCTGGGACCAGCTGACTTTGGCACAGTGAAGATGCTGCCATAAACCGAAGCAGATGAATATTGTGGACTGCAAGTTGTGACAGGGACGTGCGTGCTGATGGGACACACGATAATGAAACCAGGTGTCTGCTTGCTGCATTTGCTATTTCTGCGCTGCAGATCTGCCCCGGGAGGCACGTTCTGCTCTGAGACAAGCTCCTCCGCCTGGTTCCACCTCCTCTCTGCCAGGTGTCACGGGTGGGGAAAAACACCAGGTTGGCACATGGTGGTGACCTTTTCACTCCTCGTCCCAGGCATTCACGAAAGCCACGCCAGGTCCAATGCAGCTCCTTGATGTCTTTCCATTTACCAAACTCTGAGTTATTTTTCAGGATTCTTCTCTCCTTCGATTCCCACCACCTACTCTCTATGGTGGCCAAATCAGCCTGCCAATCTTACCCCGTCACAATTTTCTATTAATATTCTTTTTTCTCATTCATTCTTTCAACATAGGGCTTTTGAGACTCTACTCTGTACCAGCTGCTGTCCTAGGCACTGGGGGTACAGCAGTTGCAAAGCAGACACAAATCCCTGCCCTCATTGTTGGGGGGAAACTGACGTTCTGATCATTATTTCCACCTGCCTGCTTTGGCCTCATACACTCTATCTTACCCCTTAAAAACTCAGCCCCTCCTTCAGCCTTAGGTCACACCTCGCTCACCTCCTCCATGAAGCCCTCCCTCATCCTGAGCAGGGTCTCTCCTTATTGCAGAATGCTGTTGCCTTTACCGTGTGAGCCGTGCAGTTGGCATGTATGGCGCTGCTTTTCCTTATCTTTGTGCACCTGTCCTCTCTCCACTATAATGTAAGATCCCAGGAGGGCAGGGACTCTCTCTGTTTTGCCTCTGCAGTCCTGTGGCACCCAGCAGAGTGTCTGGCACAGAGAAATAATAACATCATATTAGAAAAATAATAATAACGATTGTATCGATTGCATGCTTGTGAAGGATCAACCATTGTTCTAAGTACTTAATAAATATCAGCTCATTTCATCCTGATGGCCTATGGGGTTGGTGGGGGCTCACGCAGGAAGTAGGAACTCAGGTGGAAGTAGCTATGGTGGCAGTGGCGGCAGCAGATCTGGAAAAGCTGTGTGCCAGGAGGGGCGGAGCAGGCGGTTACAGAACGTAGGCTCTGGAGGAGGACCTGGATTGGAGTCCTGGCTTCGTCACTTATCAGCTGGGTGACCTTGGGCAAATGACTCCTCTTACCTTGGCTTCATTTACTTTCCTATGAAGTGAGGATAATTACAACCCCCACGTCCCCGAGGTGTGTGACAACTGCATGAACTAATGCAGACAGCACACCACCAGCACAGAGGTGCCTGCTATTATTATTATTATTGTTATATCCCTCTTCCAAGAATCACCCACACCTGCTTCCTATCCCATCCTGCCCCAGCTCCCCATCCCCTGCCCCCAGCACACCTCCTTCCACATCTTTGCCCAAGTAGAGGGAAAGCTGAGTGCATTATACTGAGAAGAGACTCTTCAGTTGCTGCCTTATTTCTCCTCTTCCAACAAACGAGTCCTGAAGCAAATAGATCCCAGACGTCACGACTCATTTATAATAACCCAGCATCTTGGGACCAGAGAGGGGGTGGAGGCTCTGCTTGGGTGTTGACAGAGCATTGAGGACTCCAAGATACAAGAATCCAAGGGGACAGCTCAGGAAGCGAGGCTACATGCGAGATTACTATCATCTCTTCTGTGCAACTGCAGAGATCGGCTGAGCTCTTTCATTAGAAATCTGATGCCTTAAAAAAAAAAAAAATACACAGCAGAATCAAAACTTGGGCATGAGGCGACCTCCTGGGGAAGGCAGCTTCACGTGTGCCGGCTCCTGGCACGAAGGCCTCGTTCATCCACCGCCTCTATGTGTTGTCGGCTCCCAGCACATGACCGTTATTCAATCCGTGTTTTGCAGGGTACCAGGAGGGCTAAACCCTCTGCATTTCTCATACTTCCACAGCAGTTGGGGTCTGCAGCAGCCTCCTTCTCCCTGGCTTTCATCTCTGCATCCCTCCATTTCTGCCTGCAGCAGAGAAGCATCAATTATACACTCCAATTATGTGATTATACATATTTTCACTAATTAATAATAATTCTTGCTATTCATCCTGCCAACTCCCATTGGAGGACTTCAGAGGACATTTGAGAGGATAACTCACAGCTTTGCCACCTGGGAAGGAATGGGCAAGGCCTATAGAATTCCTGGCATGAAAGGGAAACTGAGGCACCACAAGGTACTTCCTTGTGATAGAGTTGACCACTGAATCTAAGACTTGGCTTTGTCTTGGTAGAGGATTTGCTCAGGAAAATGAGCCCACTGGATGTCGCTGCTGCCTGGAGAGGTGTCAGGAAGAAGAAAGTAGCCCAGGGATAGTTCTTTATAGGTGTTCAATTGGCTATCATTAAAGCTAAGATTCCCTCTTATTTACAGAAGTTTGGATCTTTCTTTTGGTTACCTATCATACTTATGTCCTTCTCTCTTGAGATGTACTAACATGCTGTGAAGAAAAGTTACTTTATGACTTGAATAAAGTACAGTTCTACTTCCCAGAGTCACATGTCCAAGCAGTATGGGACCTGAGAGGTGACCTGGTCCAGTGTACCCAGTTTTCAGAGGCAGAGGCTTGAAGCCCAGCTGCACCCCAATGTCATGTCCATTGTCAAACCTAATTATCAAGACAATACAATAAGATAAATTTTACTATCCCCATATTACAGAAGAAACCCAGTTCTTGAGAGTGACTTGCCCAAAGTCACATTGCTATTAAGTGACAGAGCTGTGACTAAACCCAGGTTCCAGTACATTCCAAAATCAATACCTTTTTCATTGTGTCATGTCAATAGCACAGCCAATTAGTGGCAGAAGACTCCAGCACTTTGACGCGTATGACAAATCAGTGAGCTCTTCGAAGAGGAGATAAGCCAGACTGACAAAGAGAACAAGACGTTCCATACTCAAGCTGAGTGTTCCCGAAGCCAAATTTCATTTTCATTAGGTGCAGTCAGATAGTCGTCCTACTCATTGAAAAAAAAAGAAAAATCAATCTAAGCAGTTTTCAGACTGAACAGACTCATCAGTTGATGGACCTGACTCGTTCAGGTCAAACAGTTCATCCAAGCTGAGCTAAAGCCGTGATGCCAGCAGGTTGAGTGTGGTTGAGTGAGGTTGAGATTACGTCTCCACACCCAGCTGCAGCCTTGCCAAAGTTGGTCCAGCCATCAGTGTCCATCCACCAGCCTCCCCTCCCCCACCTCCACCGCCTGCCGCATTGCCCAGCTGCCCAGCAGAGAGAGCTGGGCATGTTGCTACCTCAACCCTACCCCCACCACAATGGGGAGACAGAGCGTCAGGACTGGCTCCATCTTGAGTCTGTGGCCAAGGGCAGAGCTGGCTTTGGTGGACTTGGAGAGTCCAGGCAGGCTGAGCACTTATGCCCGTGAACAAGCAAACCTACCAAAAGGAGATGAGGCTCTGGATCTGCCACTGCATCAGCTCTCATCAGCTCTCCATTTCACAGGTAACTCTCAGCCAGGGAGCCCAACAAGGGCAGCCACCAGCCAAGCCCTGAACAATTCCCATCACAGAAACAGGCCTGAGAACCCTGCCTGCCACTTTCCCCAGCTGCTTAGCTCTGAAATAAAGACAGAACCCCCATATTCCTGTTCCAACTCAGAGACTGGATGTGAGCTCTCCTGCAGCTTTTGATCAGTCCTTTTCATAGCACTGATTTGCTAGGCTGTGTATTAACTTTCTGTATAATCTTCTATTGACTCTATTAGAAGTTGACTCTATTAGAGTTAGTATTAAGATGCTATTATGCACAAAGATATACAAATGGCCAATAAACACATGAAAAGATGTTCAATATCATTAGTCATCAGGGAAATGCAAATTAAAACCAAAATTAGATGCCACTACACACTCATTAGAAGGGCTGAAACTTAAAAGAATGAAAATACAAGTGTTGACAAAGACATTGAGCACCGCATATATACTGTAGAGCTCCATGACATAGACTGTCACGCATTCCCGGTGGGAGTGCGAAACGGTACAACCACCACTTTGGAAAAATAGGCAGTTTCTTACAAAGTTAAATATACATTTATCTTTAAACCCAGCAATTCCATTGCTGGTATTTACCCAAGAGAAGTGAAAACATGTGTCTACACAAAGAGCCATGCAAGAATGATCATAGCAAATTTATTTGTAATACCCCAAACCAGAAACAATTCAAATGCCCATCATTAACATGTGAGTGAATAAGCAAATCATAGTGTAGTTATAAACTCAATGGAATATTACTCAGGGAAAGAAAGGAATGAACTATTCATAAATGCAACAAAATGGACAAATTTCAAAACAATCATGCCAAGGGAAAGAAGACAGACACAAAAGAGTATAGTGAATGCTTCCATTTATATAAAGCTCTAGAAAAGAGAAATCTAATCTATCGTGACAAGAAAGCAGATCAGTGATTGCCCGGGCCCCGGAGTGGTGGGAGATTGAGTAGCAGGAGCACCAGGGACGCCAGAGGGTAATGGAAACGTTTATATCTCGATGGTGGTGGTGTTTACAGAAGGGAAAACATTTTTCAAAACTCACTGAGCTCCACACACATAAAATAGGTCTATAAACTTTAAACCAGTAAAGCTGGGAAAAAGCCATGTATAAGATTATTATCAACAACCTTAACTTTGGATTTAAATAAACAACTCTAAATTAATAACATTTATATTTAACCCAAATTTAGAATTTAAAGAACAAATGTCAAATGAATGTTCAAAGAAGAAAACCTACATACACACACACACACACACCCCCACACACACACACACGCTAGTATGGTGGACTCAGTGCTGGGGACCCAGGAATACCTGAAAATTGCCCCTAAGGAGACTCCTTAAAGAGCTAGAATACATACAAAGGAGGAAAAGCAAGACAAAGGAGTATGTTTTTATCAGCCATAGCTTTGTCCCCAAATCTACTCTAGAACTATATATAGTATCCTAGATGGCACCTCCTGGAAGATTCCATTTGCTAGACCAGGCATCCTGGAGTGATATAAAACCAAACAAGCCCCCAGGCCCTCCTCCTGCTCCCAGTGCCTAGACCCAAGTCTCAGAACCTGCCTCTCCTGCCTGAGCCTCACCTGCCAGCACCAATGGAAAAGGGACCAGAGAGGGGCCTTCGCTCACTCAGGGTTATTTCACTCTCCAGGGCATCACATGCTGGCACATGCACTAATCCATGTCCAGCACATCCTCACTGCACAACAGGATCCCACATCCAAGTTCCTACAGGGGCCTGCTAGGTAAGGTAAAGGAATGGGTGAAGTGGGCCCACTGTGAGACAAGAGGGAGTGGTGGGGACTGGGGCAGGCCCAGGAACACACAAGTTCGTGTAAGAGGAGCCCTATGCTTCAGTTGGCATGTGGGAAGGTATGGTCAGTGTCATCAGGCCTTCTGCTTTTTCCAGAGGAGACAAAAATTCAGACTTTTATGTGAACTGTCTCAATTTTAAATATTGGCAAACAATTCAGAAAATTTGAAACATGGTATGGGCCAAACAAAACATATGCTCAGGCCAAAGCAGTGAAGAGCCACCAGGCTGTGAGACCAGGCTAGAGGCCAACGTCCCCTTAGGGGCAGACATCATGGCCGGGCCCCAGGGCTGTATTCCCCACCGAAAGGATTTGGTTTGACCTCCTAGTCAAGGCATAGCTCAACATTCCCAGCAAGTTATTTTCCAGCTCATCCTTGAACTCTCCAGTGACCAGAAGATTGACCATTCCATCATAGGACTCTGCACTATCTCCCCTACCTGCTTCTGCTGGCTCTGACCATTCAGTCAGGACTCAGACAACATGGCGCCTACCCCAGGAAGCTTTCCGAGATCCCTATATCCACATGGGAGCCTCCTCATCTATCCCCCCTCCCCCCAGACTTCCCTTATCTCAATTCTTTCCACACTGCATTGCTCGCTTGTCTTCTGACCATGCTGAGAGTTCCTGAGAGCAGAGCTCATATATCCAGTGGTTAACACACATAATCAGCATATCAGTTAGCCTAGTTTGATTGCAAATGATAAAAATTCCCTCAGACTCTCTTAGGTGCACTGGAAATGTATTCTCTGTGTTCACGACCAGGAAGGCATAGCTGGATTCAGGCGCAACTGAGACTGGGGTTCACACAATGCCGGCCACGCCTGGTCTCACCCCACCTCTCCTCTGGACTCAACTCTCATCCAGCACCCAGGTGGTAGCAGGATGGTGGCCAAAGAGAGACAATCCAGGCTGTAGAGATACCACATTATTAACCCATTTCAAAGAAGAGAAAACAGGGGCACAAAGATATGAAGTAACTTGCTCAAGATCACACATGAGGTGAAGGAGTGAGAAGACAGAGAAGCAGTTGGCTCCTAGAACATGTGTAATAAACATGATATAATTCTGTCCCTGAAGTGTGCCTTTTTCTTGGTCAGTTCCAAATGCAGCCTCTGACAGCCAGGCAACCTTTGTCTAAATGGTACAATGAGCACTCTCCCCCCTCCCCTGCAATGTCAACAGTATATAATGGCAGAAGGTGAGCAGAATAACTTCAATAAAAAGAGAATTACACAGAGGGCAACAGCCCATGGCACACACACTGCATATCCTGGCAGGAAGTGAGGTTCTTTGTCCTCCAGCGTGATTTCTGGGAGATGTCCCTTGTTCGTTGTCTTCCAAGGCCACGCCTGGGATATACAACGGGGAAGATGAAACTTCTGGAAAGAAGCTCTCTACTTGAAGGGCTAGTGGGGACTTGTGGATTGATTGCCTTAAATGATGGGCATCTTAGATAGATTATTTGACAGCTTTGGTGTTTCTCTTGTAGAATAATTTGCTCAGATCTTTAGTAAATGATGGGCATCTTAGATATGTTATTTGACAGATTTGGTGTTTCTCTTGTAGAATAATTCTCTCGGATCTTCAGTTGGCTGCCCTGTGGGTTAGTACATGAAGCCCCAGCTGGGCAGCACTCTGCGCCGCCCCCAGCCAGCAGCCTTGCCTCCCAGCTCCACCTTCCCTGGGGGAGGGGAGGGGATTATTTGGCCCCTCGACTCCAGTTGCGTCCCCTGCATTGAGCTGGGGGCTCATCATAGAAGGTGCCTGGGAAGGGCAGTGGGAACCTGCATGTTCCCAAGGTGCCCACTCTCCTGTCTTAACTCACACTAATTTGGGGTTGGAAAACACCATTTAGCTTTCCGACCCTGCATTCCTGCACATTTCTGGCTGCTGCTGCTTTCAGTCATAGGCAGGAAGTGGCTCTCTCGGTAAAGCCTACTGTAAATGCCATCCGCTTTCAAGCAAGCCAGTTTCACCCTGAGCTTGTCACTTTCTAATAGCGCCTTACTGAAAGTCACTTCTGTTTAACAAGGACTCCAACTTCTCAGCCATGGTGCCTGCGTCCCCACAGCCCGGCACGCCCACTCAGCCGTCACACGGGTGTGATCTCCCACTTGCGCACCCCCACTCCCGGAACTAACGTCTGCATCCGTTTTATTTAAAAGTAACAGGAAAAAAAAAAAAAAACCTATTCAAAAATGCCAGGTCTGGCTCCCAGCTGGATTCAAGGGCTCAACTGTGTCATCAGCGCATGGTCTTTCCGTTTCTCCAGTCTGGCTTCTTCCTTGTGTGCTTTCTTTTCAGGTTCCCTGTGGTCGCCCACAGTTCCAGACCCGCATCCTCACCGGTTACCGTCCAGCCAGGTTAAAGTTAGAGCTTTTCTTCTCCGACAGAGACTCCGAGTCCACTCTTACTGGTCCAAATTTGTCACGTGACCACCCCTGACCGCAAGATGGCGCCTTGGGGGTGCAGGGCTCTGATTGGCCAGGCCTGACCACATGCCCAGCTGGAGGCGGAGTCAGCACCACCTTAAAGAAAGGGAGTGGGGAGCAGGTGTTTCTGCAGCGAGGGACTGGAGCGAGGCGACCTCGCGCAGGTGAGCGGAGTCTGGGCAGCCCAAACAACGGAAGTCTACATAGCTGGTGCTCAACAGGCATGTGTCCTGTGAAGGAACAAATGAGCAGCTGACCCTCCCATCCCGAGTGGAAAAGTACCTGGAAAGAAGTGACATGTATCTTTTTTCTTCCCTGCTCAAGGAAGTCTGAGCCAGCTCGTCCTAAGAACCTGCGTGCATTTACAGCGAGTGCTCAATTACCTCCACGTGGCGGATTCCGTCTGGATTATCCAGGTCAAGTGTTTAACTCCAGGCTGGAGTCCCCTGGTACCGCAGGACTCCAGGCAAAACCCAGGAGGCCAGACTAAATTACTCTGAACGTCCCTTCATTCAACAAGCTTTGCTGTGTACTCCGGCCATCAAACAGTGTGTGCTCGGGGAATGTTGGTTCGCTTTGATGTTTGTTTGCGCAAAGCAGGCATAGGAAAGCAAATCCACGTTTGGCAGGAGGAGGCAGGGAGCGGGGCCACGGTGGGAGACCATGGCGATCTTCCCAGAGCCAAACTTGGGGGCGCCTACATGTGTACGGGTGTATGCTCATACATGGTTTGGGATTATCTACCTTGCTGTCTCTGGCCACTGGCAGTAATACTCAGGGACTGACAGTCCTGGTGGGGCAGTCACAACAAATGACCTGATAGAAACTAGGAAGGAGTGTGTGTGCTAACTGTTGCCCTCCAGAGCCTCTTCTGAGTTTGCTGACGGGACTTCTTGGGTTGGGTTCACTAGAAGCAGATTCTGAGAAAAGCATACATGTGCAAGGTATTCATTAGGGGAAGGAACCAACTGGGTAGTGGGCAGTCAGAACAGGGATGGGGAAGACGCTGAGAAGGCAAGTCTCAGCCTCAGCCTGAACCAATGGAAAGCTCTGGAGTGTAAATTGCACTGCGCAGATTTTGCTCCCATCTTAAGGCGAAGGTACTGGGCTTTTGTCCTTCTGCACCAGTAGCGTTGGGTGAGGGTGAGGGGGTTGTAAACTCCCAGGCACATCCAGCTGAGTTGGCTGCAGGTGCCCCAGAGCAATCCCCTGAAGGGTGCAGGTGCAAGCCACCCGCAGCAGAGCATGCAGAGGCAGGGTTGCCGTGCACAGAGCAGTGAGAGGGATGCCAGCAACCTAGGAGGGCACCGCCCATGTCCACCTCCAGTACAAAAGCACAGAGGTGTCAATCAACTGCCCCAAGCCCCAGAGGAGCAGACTGAGGAAACTGGGGCTTCCAGTCCCCTGGGCTCCTAACTTCTAGATGGTTCCCTCCAACTCCTCCACCTCACACCCTTCCTGAGGCATGGTCTTTCCTTGTTTCCATTCCTTGTATGATCTTTCCTGGGCTGCATTTCTCCAAGCTTCCCCAGGCTGGATGCAGGGGGTGAATCTTGCTGGAACCTGCCCTCCCACGCCCCAGCCCCCAGCCCAGTGCCCTAGCTGCGGGCTCTGCTCAGCATCCTGATTCTCCCTGGTGTGTGCTGCTCTGCCACTGTTTCCTTTTCAACAGATGGATTATGGCAAGTTCACTTTCTATATCAATCACGTTACAAATCATTAAGCATATCGACACCGAGTAGAGACACCTGTGTACTCTCAAAAGGGCTGGGTGTTTTTCCACCGCTGAGTGGCAGGTGCCGCCTTGTCCTCAATTACAGGAGTCCCATCCACTCAAGGGCCCAAAGCCAGCGGCCCCACCCTGCTCGCAGCCTAGCGTGGAGGTCATGGTGATTTATCTAGACCCTCTGCAGGGACCCTTCCCCAGGCCACAGCTTTAACAGCTGATCTTCAGAAGCCAGAGACAGGAGGGCCTTCCACAGGGCAGTCCAGCTCTGAATTCATCCAACAGCAAAAGCTGGCTGCCCAGGGCCTCAACAGGTACAGGCTCGGCCCTGCCTTCAAGGGGCCCTCAAGTTACCCCAAGATCATCCCCTCCCACCCCTGCCTCGGGGCGGGACCACAATCTCTGATCTCATGAGAATCTAAGTGTTTTCTCATACTATCTTGTGAAGCCTCACAATAACCCCATGTGGTTTGTATTATTATGGACATTTTTTATAGAGGAGGACCAGAAAAGTCCAGTGCCTTGCCCAAGGTTACACAGCTAAAAAGTAGCAGGGCTGGGAGTCAAAGGCAAGTCTGGCTGGCTCTGCGGTCAGGATCAGCACCCACCCAGCTACCTTCTTTGCCTTTTAGCGGAGGCCCTCCCTCTAGAACCCTGTCCAACAGTGGGAGTGGTTTCTCATATCTACAGTAATCCCTTCTGTTTGCAACTTAAACCCTCTCCCTCTTCTCTCTTCATTGACTAGCAGACAGATGTTTGCTCCACCCACTACCTTTCCTTTTCCAAATACACTTTCCATGTTTGATTTTAGCACACATCGGGGGAGAACAGAGCATGATCATGGGCCTCCCTGCAAAATGGCACAGAACCCAGCCAGCGCCCCGTGCAAATTAGGGTCCACGCATACCAGCCTGAGAGCAGTGCCTCCTTAGATGTGCCCAAAGTGCCTCACCTGTCACACCTGGTCCAGGCCCGATGCACGTGCACACACATGCACACATACGCACACACACACACACACACACACACACGCCGTGTGAGCACTTCCCTGTCTTCCTGCCATCCTGCGTCCTTCCATCCTCCCGCCCAGTCGCCCCAGCCTCGCCCTTTCCCTGGCCCCTCCCACCCAGAGCTTCTCACCCTCTCCCACGACCCCCCATGGAGTCACCGTCAAGAGTGGCACTCCCACACAACCTCTCCCCGACAGCCTTCCCCAGTTCCAGTACCCTGGGTCCCCGAGCAGAATGCCACTGTTCCCACAGAAGCCACCACGGAAGAATAATTGTGTTGTGATTTTCAAAGGAAATTGAAATCCCCTCTTTACTGCTTTCTAAATGAACCTTATAATTTTTTCCCTGTCCACCACGTCCCTGCACACTGCCTCCTCTGCATGTGTGTGCATGTGTGTGTGTGTGTGTGAGCATGCGTGTGAGCTCCGCTGGTGTAAGCAGGCTGCCGGGCTGGCCACTTGCCTCTGTAGATCTGAGGGAAGGACAGGTCACCCCAGCGGGACTGAGTGTGAGTTCCGTGGCCTGAAGCCACACAACACAAAGCAACCTCTCCCCACCCTACCCATGGCCCCTCCGGTTGGAGCCTCTGCAACAGAACCGCTGGATCAAGCCTGAGTCCGCCAGGGGTTGTCCTGGGTCAGACTAGATCAGCTTGTCAGAGGGAACCGGGCTGGAGGCCAGGAAGGGCAGCCCCAGGAGGGGTACAGCAGAGAGCTCTGGAAAGCAACAGGTGTGTGGATTCGAGGGTAGGAAGAATGTCCTGGGAAGCTAAGGACAAAAGACGGCCCTAGTGGGAAAGTCACAGAAGGATCTAGAATAGAAGCATGAGACAGGGAAGGGAAGAGGAGGAGGAGCCTGGGCTCTGGGGCAGCATGGGTGATGGGCACAGTGACTGCCCCTTGAGGGTCTGGCCATCCAGAAGCCCCTGACCTCCAGGCCGGCTCATCCAGAGACTGAGGGAACCAGGGACCATTCTTCCCTCAGCAGGGGAAGGGAGAATTGAGCCCATCAGAGAGTGAGCCAGGGCCATCCTTGTGCCTGAGGAATGGGTCCCCAAGCACCCGCCTCCCTCTGGGGGCAGTGGCCTTGGATATTTCGGCTGTGAGTTCACCTTTTTCTTCTACCCCCGAGTAGACAACTAGGACCCAAAGCTGTAAACAAGGAGCATTGAGAACCCCATATCCTAAAACAACTGGGTTTGGACCACTCCTCATGGCTCACTAAGAGTCTACCTCCCTAGCCCGAATGCGACTGCTTGCTCTTCCGCCGACAGGTGAGCTGCAGGCCTGGGGAGGGAGTGACAGCTGCTCTTCCTGTCCTGTAGGAGAAGGAGCTTCGCTCACCAGATGTCCTGGTTGAGGGGGGCAGTTGCAGCTCCAAGAGACTCATTTAGAGATTGGGAAAGCCTACAAGAAGGGGACGCGGGGGCCCTTATCCCGGCAGGAGGCCGTCCACTTAGGCAGCAGATCTGAGCTGCCTTGAGCTACCTGATCAGGGGGGAGGAGACAGAGCTGGCAGGGGGAGCAGCTGATGCGGCAAGGATGGGAGTTTTCAGTGCGTCCAGGGACCCTGCAGACAGTGGAGGCTTAAGCCACCTTGCTGGTGGCCACCCAAGAGGGCAGCCTGTGAGGCAAGGGAACCCTCCTCCCATGGGAAGAGGGATTAGGAAAGAAATCAGCGTTAGCCTAAGAAGCAACCTTCAATGCCCCAGTTAGGGCAGGTAGGAGGCATTTGTCCCTTCCCCACCCTCTTCTTACCTGCACAGTGGGGGTTCGGGGGGCCAGTCTCCAGCAAGGAGAGAGAACTGGCATGCCAGGGGGAGATGTCACTCCCGGGGAGGGCGGGGAAGGGGAGGCCACCTCCCACCCCACTCCAGGCCCCAGGCTGTCCTGCAGTGAGGAAAGGTGAGTCTCAATCCACTGCAAGATAGGAGTCTGAAACTGTTTATTTAATAACCAAAAAGTAAGTTATAGAATCTGCCCAAGAAGTTGTCAAGGGACGGAAAAGGGAGATTCAACAGAGTACAACTGAAAGCAGTGACATGAGAAAAAATTTTTAGATAAATATTTCATGTCAGTGCCCAACTGAATCGAACCTGAATGGTAAATCAGTTACACAAGGGACAGAGACTCCCGTAGACAAGCTCAAGTATGAATGTGGGGTGGAGGGGAGTGTATGATAAGAGATGTGTGGAATAATAAACAAGGGAGACAGAATCCCAGTGGATTCTAGCCGTCGGGGCAAGCTCCCAGACAGGAAAACCCAAAGGCTGCTGAGGAGCTAA